CGTTTATAATCTCACTGAAAGGTGACAGGGCCAGAAAGAGTTAATTAACTCACAAGTGATGTAAATGAACAGAGCTGTGAAATGCAAGTCTGCATTGTTAGAGGTAGAAGGGGAGATGTTTGCTCAGGGCTTGTGATGGAAGCAAACAAGTCTTGTCTATTGCTACAGCTTTGATTCAAAGCTCAAAAAAGGAATATTAACATTTAGGAAGATACTTGAGGGAAATGGTATTATTGTCTCTATGTCTCTTTGAAGGTTGTGGTAACCTGTATCTGAACTGTTTAATGGATAAATTACCCTGTGCTAATTGCCCGGCTGCTTGGGAGACAGAAGATTAAGCTTATTCTCTCAGGCCAAGAGGCTGCTGGAAGATGTATAAGAACCCTGGGGAACAATTCTGTTTTATCTCAGATCTGCTTTGGGTTTCAAGAGGGGGAAACCCTGAGCCACAAGGATTGAGACCCCCAGTCACTGACTGGAGCCACCCTGAATATGGACATTGGACTCTAACCTCTGGACTATTTCTAAAAGGACTTTTGGCAACTACAAGCTCATCTTTGCTATGTATCTGAACCTCAAGAATTGAATTCAAGTCTGTCTGTACATTGATCTTTTAACCAGCACTCTCTCGCTTTTCTTTTTAATAAATTTTAGTTTAGTTAATAAGAATTGACTATAGCGTGTATTTTGGGTCAGATCTAAGATATAATTGAACCTGGGTACGTGGCTGACCCTTTGGGGTTGGAAGCCCCGACCCTGGGCATCCGTGACACCGCCCCCTGGGGCAGCAGGGCGCAGGGCTGGTTTGGGGACTGTGGGGCTGCTGGCAGGATGGGACAGGCCTGTCTGTCTCCAGGGACTAGGGCACTCCTGCTCTCTAATGGGGACCCAGCGCCTGGTGCCACGTCTCTGCCCTGCTCCCGGCCCATTCTCACCTGCTGCCGTGGTGCCCTCTGGCTGGCCCGTGGGTTTGGCCTCGCTGCTCTCATTGACTGTGCTGGGGATCCGGGATCCTGGGACCGGAGTCGCCGTGGGGAGCGGGGGCTGCTCGGAGGTGGGGCTGGTCCCCAGAGGAGCAGCACCTGGGGGAGAGGAAGGAACTGATCAGTGGGAGGGCCATGGTGCTCGCTGAGCTGCTCCTGGTCCCCCCCTCCTGCCCCCTAGATCTCCTGTCCTGCTCCCTAAGTCTCCCCATCCTGCCCTCCGACCTAGCAGAGCCCCGCTTGCCCAGGAAGGCCCTGCAGCCAGCCCTGCCATCACAGAGAGCTGCGGGGGCTTCACACAGCGCCCCGAGGGCCGCCCCCCCCATCCCCCCCCGCCAGCAGCAGGCCCTGGTCCCGGTGACCCCGACCTCAGGCAGACCCGTGCACTTCGGGCTCCCCGGGGCAGAGGCTGGACTCGGGGCAGAGACCAGAGAACTCAGCGGGGAAGGCTCCGGGCCCCACCTGTCATGCCCAGGGCCTGGCCATGTGGGAGAGGCACCCGCAGCTGGCCATGCTGGGAGATGGGGGCTGGGGAGATGGAAAGGGCTCAGAGAAGGCTCCATAGGGCAGGGGTGGGGGGGGACAAGTACCTGCTGGTCTCTAGGGTGCATCCCGGCCCTGCAGTGTCACGGGCCCCCCCTCT